CTGACACCCATGTCGTGGTTTGGGGTCATGTTAATTTTGACCTCTTGGGTTAGCTGGTGGAAGCTTTCCTCGGTGAGTTTTTCCCCTTGGTAACCCGGAAGCAATGGGAGTAGATACTGTGACGTGTACGCTGACCACTATGCACTACTCAGACACACTTTGTTTTTGAGACAGGTAGGATCTGTAGCCCAGGCTGGTGTCAGACTCTCATTGGGTAGTTGAAGATGTCCTTGAACCTTTGGGCCTCCTAGCTTCTTACCCCTGGGTACTGGGATTCCAGGAATGCGCTACCACACTGGGTTAAGGACTTGCTGGGGAACCCAGGGCCCTGTGCCAGCCAGGCAAACGCTCTACCAACTGAAGCCCATCCCTAACCCATTCTCTGCCTCTGTGTGGCATCTTTGGTGACTCTCACTAAGTCAGTCCTCTGCAGTGTTTATTCTGATGTGATTTCAGACTCAAGAGTTTTAATCAGAAGAGAAGGAATTTCCGTTTGTTTTCACCTTAAGTGATAAGTTGTCTCCTCGTTTTCCTTGTAGTCTGTGAATTGTAGATAGTAAAAGCACCTGTCTCAGAGTGCTGTTTGGTTTTCTATGTCTCCCAGCTTCACTGAAAAGAGAGCTTTGTTTTTTCCCTTTTCCATTTTTTTAAAATTTTATTTTATTATTATTATTATTATTGGGTTTTCGAGACAGGGTTTCTCTGTGTAGTTCCGGTGGCTGTCCCAGGCTGGCCTCAAACTCACAGAGATCTGCCTACCTCTGCCTCCCGAGTGCTGGGATTAAAGGGTGCGCCACCACCGCCCGGCCTGTTTTTTCCCTTTTTCTTACTGGTCTGTGTGCCTGTACTCTTTAATCAGTGTAGTTAATCTTTCTGAAGTTTCTCTTCCTTTACTGTTTCAGGATACTGATTTCTGTTCTGTGAAACTCCATGTGTGAGCATGTGTGTGTGTGTACAGGATGACCAGCACACACTCAGCACTTTGCTCAGGCACTTAGATAGCAGGCCGAGGTCACCAAATGGTTAAGTACTGCATATATTTTGGTGAATAGAAAAGCCTTAAGAAGAAGCAGGATGAATAGTAACAGCTCACATGTCTTCTGTTGCCCGTGGACTAAGAACATGGGTCATGGGTTTTTGGCTCGGCCTGTCTGACTTGTGGGCATCTGTTTGTCAGTCATTCTCGGTGCTGGTCTGTTACTGATCTAGAATGGTGGTGGGACCTGGGAGAATGGAGCCTAAAAATGCGGTGGACTAAAGTCTCATGCAATAGCTAACTATTCAGAGCATCAGACAATTTATAGTCTGCGGGTTAAGAAAGGTAACCTGAGTATAATCACAAGGAGAAGCTGCATGTGACAAAAACATCTTTTCCCATGGAGGCACATAAACAAATAGCAACAGCCAGTTGTAATAAATAATCTACAGTAAACTCACAGCTATCCGCTTTACCCGGGAAGGGCATGAAAGCACATTTCAAGAACAGTTGTGTGTTTTTGAAGAAACTGAGGTCACAATACTCTTGCTTTCTTGGAGTTTTCTCACAAGCACTCAGAATTTTCCTCACATGACTCCATTCTTGGACAGTATTCTTGAGACTAGTCAAGGCCACAGATATTCTAATAGTTTTCACTTTGGGAGAGGGTGGTGGAAAACCTTCCAAAATTGGATGTAATTGTAAATGTGTGTACATTGTTAAAAGATAATATTCTATACCTTTCAGTTATCAGTTGGTCAGTCCCCAGTTAGTTACTTTTAGAAGTAAAGTTTTACCTTTTTCTCAAATGACTCATTGATTTTTAATAATCTTCCAAAATAAATATGCATAATAAACATATAACAAATGAATCAGTTTAAACATTTATGTGTTTAAATTTCAAAGTCAAAATGCATAGTAGTTTCCTGTGTTAATGATTTAAATTTTAAGGTATATTTTTCAGAATCCTAAGGTGCAGTATTAGCACAGGAAGATAGTCATAGCTGTACCATGAGTGAATGCATAGGTATGAGTGCTCAGGACCAGGCCCATGTATTGGAAGCAGCACAGACGTAAACCAGTTAGGAGTTGGCACTAAGGTGCCAGCACGGATTTAACTCTTTCCAGGTCCTGATGTGGTGTGATTCCCCCGTTGTGCTGGTGAGGAAATTGAAGCTTAGAGAAGTCACCTGCTTAATTTAAGTTCACTTGAAAGTCACCGCACAGTTCACATTCTTGACTGTTACTAAACCAAGTGACAGATAGAGGTAACGCTTATTCTTCATAGAAAGGTATCTATTAGGCATGCTTTGGTCTATAGAGAGCAACTTTAACCCCCCCCCCCCCAGGGTGTGTGTATAGAGGGGCTGGGGAAGAGAGGAGAGACAGAGACATCAACTGACCAAGCAAATGCTGGCTCGTAACTTATAATTCTGACTTCTTAAAAAGCTGTATCTAGTTGGAAATACAACTGAGTTTTTTCTTCTTTCCTGCCATTGATTTTAGTGTGAATACTCCTTCTTGAAAGCATACATATATAACATGAATGATCATTTATTTGAGAAGACTCCCTGTCAGGGCTGTTGCAGGTTACAGGGATATGAAGGTGATAGATTCTTGCTTCATCATGATGGAGGTTACAGTCGACCCTGATGTGTCAGACTGTTACAGTATACTGATCTAAATATTAGCAGAAGGAAACAGTGTCCTGAGAAGCAGGGTGCCCAACTAACTACAGAGGGAAGGGAAGGAAAAACCATAGAAGTGACATAGGATCCGAAGAACAGGCCTGCAACTAGCATAGTGCATTCTGGGACTCACACATGGTTCAGTATGGTGGGGTTATAGACAGTTATTAAGGTATGTTACAACACACGATTGGAAAGGTAGTTCTTAAACTTGATGAAATTTGTGTACCAGACTTAGTACTTGAAATTTTGGATTTGTTTTGTTTTGTAACTACTGAGTCTTTGAAGAAGGAAAATGGAATCTTGAGAGAGAGTGAAGGTAGGGACCCAGTTAGAGACAATCTGTGGCAGTTTGTGAAGAGATGGGTCATGACAGTCTGCAGTGAAGACTACATGAGAGATACAGAAAAGTTGGGTGACTAAAATGCCATGTACTTATATTGCTTTAAAATGTCACAAACACTATAATGCACATTTTTTGTTTTGGTACCTATTAAGGAGGTGGATGAGCAGATGGTTCAGGTAGATGGACTTGTGTTTTGTATGAGGAAATGGAGCTCTTGAGACTCTGCCTTAGCCAGAGATGAGGGAGCAATGGCTTACATGTGAACCAAAGGAGGATGCTCAAACTCAGTGCTCTGTCTGGTTGTTTCACACCAAGGCTAGGCAGCACCCAGGTGTGCTTTAATCTACGGCATGGGTGGGGTCAGCCAATAAGGTTGAGAAATAATTACAAGTCCATGTGAATACCTAGAAGGTGCTTTTCCCGAGGACATGGTGTGTCTGTTTTTGGAGGTCTATTCTTGTGACTGTTGGAAACTGGCAGGCTCATATTAGACACCATTGTAGAGACTTCCAGTTAGTGTTAGTGATCAGCATATTAAGGCTCCTTAACACACACCTTTAAGTGAGTCCTTGCTATGGGTCATGTTCCCCTTCTATACCTCTGAAGGACCCGGGAGAAGCAGAAGTGTCTCTGTTTTCTCATCACATCCCCTCCCACGTTGATGGTCCTTTGATTGCACTCTTTCCAGCCTGGCCTCGAGTCACTGCCATGTCTGTTCAGTGGTCTTTCAAGTCAAGTGATTAGTATTCTGGTCCAGTGAGCACTGTGAGGCTGGCTTTCTGTGTAGCAAAGGTAGTTTGGCGGTGTTGTTAGAGGCATGTGAGCACTGCTCTTCACAAAGCTTGGAACTGAATCTAAAACCACATGATCACACTGCTGAGTCTGGTTTCATAAAGCTGTTTGTGCTGTGTAATGTTTCAAGGGATTCTAAACTACCACAGTCTCTCTCTCCTAATTTTGTCCAACCTGATTAACTTGTACTCTGTGTTAGTAAATTCAAAGGAAACAATTAGTTTCTACCATAATTGGGAGCCATAGTAAGTTAATGTACTTTGGAAAGTATAATGACCTCTCTGGTACCACAGGCTAGCTGGTACATCAGCAGTTTCTAGCCTGGTTGTCTGTTTACTGATTGCGCCTCATGGTGTGAACCTTGTGTCTGAGTGTTTTAGTTTCCTTCTACATAGAAAAGGAGAAAGGGAGGAAGAGGGGACGAGGGAGAGAAAGCCTTATTTGTACTCTGTCTAACACAGAGTTTTGAAGACAGTAGGAAGTCAAAGGATTGTCACCAAAATATGCTATTTACTAGTTGAAATTTGTATTTTTGGGGTGGGCAGGTTTGAGACAGGGTTTCTTTGTATAACAGCCCTTTGCGCCTTTCCTGGAACTCACTCTGTAGACCAGGCTGGCCTCGAACTCACAGAGATCCACCTGCCTTTGCCTCCTTAGTGCTGGGATTAAAGGTGTGCACCACCACCGCCAGGCTGAAATTTGTATTTGTTTAATGCAAGTCTTTTAAAATGCTATCTTAAAATAACAATAAGGTTTTAAAAACCATCTGGATATGGTGACACATGTTAGTAATTACAGTACTTGGGAGGTGAGGCAGGAAGATCAGGAGTTGAAGGCTACATAATGGGTTTGAGAAATATCTTGTGTCCACCCTTCACCCCTTCAAAAAAAAAAAAAAACAAACAAAAAAAACCACCCACCATTGGCTCTTTGTATGCATGCTTGCCTAGCATTTTTATTTTTTAGAGTAGCCTGTTTGGAGACCACTGTACTGCTGGAGTTGACAGCTATGACTAGAGACTGATCTACTGAGTCCAGAGGGAAAGCTGACAGAGATTTCAGGTGAAAGGAGCCTGCAGTTGACTTTCCATTAAGTCTAGGCTGTTTGCGTTGATTCCTAGAGAGCAGGAGTGTGCTTAAAGTTGACTGTTTTCTTCTTCCCTGCCATCTGAACCCAATCCTCACTTGTCTTTTGTAGCTAGAGACAGTGGGATGGCAGCTTAACCTGCAAATGGCTCACTCCGCCCGAGCCAAGCTCCAGTCTCCTCAGGCCGTGCTGCAGCTGGGAGTGAGCCAGGAAGACTCGAAGGTGAGACCCCGGGCCCTGGTGAAGGGAGGGCTTTTGTTTGGTAGGTCTCGTACCTCATTGACAGAGGAGTCTGACCTTGAAAAATGTAAGTGTAAATCAGCTGCAACAATGTGCTTCTCTTACAGACCATTTTATAATGTCTTTTAATTTGTGTGAGATAAAAATTTAATGGAGTCCCTCTGAAATTACTGTTTTTGATGCCCCCCACTGTGTGTGTGTGTGTGTGTGTGTGTGTGTGTGTGTGTGTGTGTGTATTAAGCTGTAAGCTGCACGTATAAAGGGAAAGGGATATTTGCTGTTGTCCAGCCAATGCCTGGGGCAGTCGGATAATCTGAATTACATTTTGGGGAATAGTGTGTTCATGTGTTTAAATCCTAACTTGCAAGATACATTTTTTTGCATTAGTTTACATCATAGGGCAGCTCTTCCTTCAGTATCAGTTTTAGAACAACCTGAACATAATTATCAACAGTGAAAGAAGTGCCGTGGAAGGTTCCCCACTGTGGTGTGTAGAGAAGTATGTTTCAGATATAACCTATCATATTTTATATTATAATTACTTCTTTACCATAGAAAAGGGAGAATAAATCCCCCACCCCAATAGATGAGACTTTGTATTATTTTGAGACGTTTAAATAGAGCTGGGCATAGGGTGCTGTGGGAGATCTGAGGATGGAGAGGTTACAGTGGCTGAATATTCTTCCAGTAGCTACCTTTATAATATGTACTTTGATGCCATGTTCACAATTAGTTATTATATCATAGGCATTTCTGTCTTTTTTAAAGAACTGGACCACTGGCTAGCCCAGGGTATATAACCACAAAATATTAATATGATTTAAGTCTTATATATAATGTATTAGTTTAATATAGTATTCTAAAATAATTTTCTTTTACACATTTTTCACTGGAAAATCATATAAACTTACTAGTCAAGTGTGAAACAGACTTTTATTATTGTTTGTGCTGCAACTTGATGGTGACATAATTGTGGCATGGTGCCTAATCTTTGTAAGACTTTCTTTCCTGTAGTGTGGAGTGTGCATCTTACAGGGTTTCTGGGAAGATTCCATGCCTACTGTGTATAAAGTACTTAGTCCAATGTGGTAAATTCTCAGTGAGTACTGGCTGTTACCATCATCGCCGTCATCAGTACAGGAGGGAGCTAACATCGATCAGTCAGCCAGCCAATCAAGATCAATGAATTTGCTTCAGGCAAAAGTTCTTACTAAATTTCTTTGCTAATGTATTTACTGTCACTTTTCTCTTTCCTATGTCATCTCTCTCTTTTTCTCGATACACTTTTTTTTTATATACTTTTAATATTTATGCTTACTGGGAATTCAAGAGCAAAAGGACAGCCTGGCAAGTCCCTTTCCCTTCTATGAACCTAGGAAGGTCTTCCTTTAGGTTTAGGAGGATGGTCTGGAAGGCACTGGAGTAGACGGGCTTACCATGACTGAACACAGGCATATTTAAGTAGCTGTCTCGGTTTGCTCTTTTATGACTACTGCATGTTAACTCCAGGTAGCTACAGAGCTACAGCACTATGTGAGCTAAGGGATATTATTTTTACCAAATACTAGATATGCTTTAAGCATCAGGGCTTTCATAGTGCTTCACTTTGGGATGCCCACGACCTCCCAGCTCCATCACATAGGCATAAAACCAAGCCTTTATGCCTGTGTGTCCATTTCATTGTGAGGCAGTGGGAATGAAAGAATAATACTTCTAGCCAGACAAATTTTTTTTAAATTCATGTTGCTCAGGAAGTCAAAACAGAAAAAAATCAAGATCATTAGTGATATGGGTTAAGTATATTTACATTTTTCCATTTGTTGCTCTTTAGAAATTTTGATTGGATTGTACTACACATATGAGCATTATTTAGCCTTGTAACCTGAAGAACTAGAGCACCACTGTCTTTCACAGTGGAAGAGCCAGGAGAGCAGTGCCCACTGTGAGGGGTGTGAGCTCTTTAGCCTGTGTGCAGATTGAGCCACTTCTTTCTCTTGCCCCTACTGTGGCATTGGGTGGACTCGACCCAGCTAACATTCCCCAGACAGTAGACACACAATGAAATGTAAACCTGCTGTCAGCCTGGGCAGGAGCATGCTGGGTCCAAGTGCTCTGTGCCTCAAGGAACAGTTGCCAACTCCACCATCTCCTCAGCGAACTGCTGAGTTCCGCCTTGAGGTGAATTTGTTTGTTTACATTCTCCTGTTATCATGACTTTATTCTTTATATTTCTGCTTCATGTGGCTGTTGGAAGCTACTGTTTATGTAGCTTCTGTTATTAAAGACCACAGACTGTATTGTGCTCTCTCTCAGTTTTCTGTATTCTGAGACAAGATCTCAGGAATTGTCGATAGGCCGAAATGAGAGAGCAGGGCATGGGGCAGGCTGTGAAAACCACGTGGACTGACGGAGGAGCTGCTGTTAAAATATTAGAAGTCAGGACTACTTAGGTTATAATGAAAAGTACAGAATTGTCATATTGTAAAATCATTTATGTAAAATAGTAAGCTGTTGGTAGGAATTCTTTTAAATATGTATTGTATGACATAGTTACCCTGAGAATATATATGTATTGAGAGGATTAGAGTCAATGTAGAGAACAGTGTTCTCCCAGTGGAGAGGACAGTGTTCACACAGTGCAGTTTCCCAGAGTGTAGTTTCTAAGGAGCTGGCTTTCCTGGTGTCAGCTTACAACCTGCTCGTGAACATGTAGCTTGCAATGAAGTTTTCATTTGTTATCACTCTAGATAACATTGTTTGGCTATGTTATCTTTGCTGTAAGAATATTTCTGTCTCAAGGCTTTCCTGTTTTGCTACTAATTTTATCATGAAAAATGGATGATTGTAGCTTTTGGACAGATCTATAGTCTAGTTATTTTCAGCTAATGTCCTTTGTATCTTTCAATGCATTCTGCAAAGTAAGATGATTTTTCTGGTTCACAGATACTTTAAGTTTTCTTGTTTTGTTATGGTTTAGTTTGGTTTATTTCATTAGGGGGCAGTAGAGCACTTTGCCTGCCTAACCGTTTCTGGCAGTCACAATGTTATTTAACATAACATTCAAAGTAGTTGTGGGAAATGCTAAGTGTTTACATTTCTAATCTGTCTATAACAATGGAGTTCTCCTGTTTCCATCAACAGAATTAATGCCGATTAATCAGATATGTATAGAACAAATAAATGAGATCAGCATGAGTCAGCTTTGTTAATTTGTCTATGATCATGTGCCAAAATGTAATTCATTAAAACGCCTTCTGCTCTGTTGACTTCTTTGTTTCATCCTGTCACTTATATTTATTTCTGTACAAGAAAATGGAAGAAAATAATCCCCAAGATAAATGAATGGCTCTGTTGGGTAATAGTTTAAACTATTTCCAGGCTAATTATAGTCTGTTGAATTAAAAAAATAAATTGTGAAGACTACAATATCATGTCTAACAAGTGTGTAATTTTGAATATCATCAACACTTTGAATATTCTTAAAACACCAAAATACTTAAAATATACATTTAATTTCCTTATCAGTTTGTTACTCAACAGAATTCTATTTTATTAATATTGAGATTAAAGTCGTGTTTCATTCTTTATCCACAACCAAGATAAAATTACTTTCACAAAAAACTTCCATTTCTCTTAATGTTAAACTGGACTTTTCTTAGGGTAAAGAATGTATATATGGATAAATAATTATGATTTTGAGTAAGTATAGATCTTTTCATGCTGGTTTCTGAGGTAGATGTGTTCCTATTTCCAATTGATTGGTATATTCTGTTTAGAGAGAGAAAATGAGCTTTACTCTTTTACTATTTATAGTTCTTTCTAACTATGCTGGGACTAGAACTCAGGCAATGCTCTACCACCGAGCTACCTCCCACCCCTTTTACTCTTTGCTGTGTACTAGACACTAGACATTGTCAGGTGTTGGTGTTTAAAGCATCTCTTCCAGTTGTAACTGTTACTCTTTGATAGATGGAGAAAGGGGAGTTCAGAGAGGTTAAATCAATTTCCACAGCTATAAAGTAGTAATCTGCACATCTAGAATTTGAAGCCAGGCCATTTTACTGCAGTGTTTATTGGTGGGTACTGGATTATTTTCCTTCTTTACTGATTTAGTGGTCCATTCTGTAATATGTGCTCATATTTTAAGATGTTAGATGCTATTTTAAATTCGAGGTTGTATTCTTTTTCTTCTCAAGATTATGTAGATTCTGTTTTCTGCTTCCTTTCCTTTTATGAAATTTCATTAGGACAGCTGAGACTTGGTCATTGAGAGATACTCGTTTACTTCTGCATAGCAAGTGTATGCTTATGTATGGATGATATTTCAATAGAACTTACTTTTTTTAAAAAAAGCAAATCTTGGCATAAGGATTATCTTACGTCATTGCATAATGTCTTTAAAACAGACTATATTACTTAAAGGGGAAATATATACTGATTTATTTAGGATAGATGTCTCAATTAGAAAAAAAATGTGCTAGTCAAATCTTGAACTCTTGTTATGGCAATTTAAAATACTTTGATCCCCTAAAGGTGATGTAGTATAGATTGAATTAGTACCTACAGATTTTTCTAAGAATTCAAATGTAGGGAGAATTTTCTAAATGTATTTTAAGGTGTCCTATGTTACATCTTTATTAGAATAAATCACATTAAAGGATACTTTCTTATTGATAATGCAACCAAGATGATCTGTGTGATTGGGGCACAATTCAGATGTGGAAAGAGTTCATTCCTGACATTTAATCCCTGCTGGATGCTTTTTATTACTTATATTTAAGTTGTACTATCTACTATCTTTGTTAATATAAATATAATAAATAAGTGATTACTGTAGTTGAGCAAATTAGAGAAGCCTTTACCTCCCATAGGTAGCTTTTTTGTATGGTGAAAGCATCTAAAATCTATTTTTCTCAGTAAAGTGTCATTGTGCTTTTGATCCATCCCTGCATCTCTGGGATGAAATCAACTTGATCATGGTA